CTGCGCTGGCCACATGGCACCAGTGTCCTCCTTCCTCCCTGGGGGTTCTTGCAGTTATGTCATTTAAATATCACCCTGGAATAAAACTTCTGAGGCTATACATTTTTCTTTAATATGTTGTACTCCACTAGTTTTATGGAATTATAAGTTCATTTTATTCTTTATACATATAATGTATCCATTTCCCGAAAATAGCATGTAAGCAGAAATAAAAATAATTGTAATTTTATTTTATTGGGTGAAAGTGATCATGTTTGTAGTCCATTGTGCAAATTCTAGGCTTGTATAGAAAAAATAAGAAACACCACTGTCCTTAAGAAAACCTCAGAAACTCCCAAGGTAGGTCTGGGGGCATCCACCTGTTTTGATATGTTGTATTTTCTCATTTCTGAGTTATTCCATGGTTCATATGCTATGTGGTCCATTTAAAAACGTCTAAGTGATTGGCTACTATTTAGTTATCTTCTTGTTATTGATGCCTGACTCTTAATTGTACTGTGCTCTGATTATGTGGTAGGAGTTCTTTGTATTTGCCGAGACTGGCTATGTGGACTTTTTGCACGGTCTATTTTCATGAAATATTCCATGTGTACAAGTGAAGACCGTGGTTTCACTATCAGAGACCAGGTTCTCCTTAACGGCAGTTTAGAAGCCTGTTCACAGAATTGTATAAACCTACCATATGCTTTCTAACTTTTCATCTGCTTGATCTATCAATTACTGAGAGTAGTGGCTTAAAACCTCCCATTATGATCATGTTTTTCCAAACTTGTAGTTCTACCAATTTTCTTTATGAATTTAGAGGCTATATAGTTAGCTGCAGCCAAATTTAGAATTTTGCTTTTTGTTAAGTTTATCGTTAGAAAGTGGATCTTTGTTTTTCCTCCTGCCTCTTATTTTAATATCTAGTTTGCCAATCCTTTTACCACCAGCCATTTGGGGCCGTTACGCTTGGTGGTTTTCTTTTCAAAGAGCATATATAGCTTCTTTTTTTTTTTTTTTTTTTTTTTTTTTTTTTTTGTGTTTTTTTTTTTTGGTGAGTCGGAGTCTTACTCTGTCACCCAGGCTGGAGTTAAGTGGCACAATCTGGGTTCACTGCAACCTTCACCTCCCAGGTTGAAGTGATTCTCCTCCCTCAGCCTCCTGAGTAGCTGGGACTACAGGTGCATGCCACTATGCCTAATTTTTGTTTTTTTAGTAGAGACAGGGTTTCACCATATTGGCCAGGCTGGTCTCGAACTCCTGACCTCATGATCCACCCGCCTTGGCCCTCCCAAAGTAGTGGGATTACAGGCTGAGCCACTGCGCCCAGCTACATATAG